TTCCAGTATTAAAGGATTACACGCAAATATCAAGACAATCTTTGAGGCTTCCATACTGTTGAGGCGTCATACTCTCATTAACCTTAGTTGCAGATCAACTTCACACTGAATACGTTTACATTAAATGAAGTATTGCAAATGTGTAACTTGGAAATTGATCCATAATCTCAGTAATGTCTAATGAGCATAGTTTTATGAATCCTACAGAAATTACATTCTCATATTTAGGAATCTATAGCCATCAAATATAAGCTGAACATGCTTTAACTCTAAGCAACTATGCACAGTATTAGCAGCATAGAGAAACACTTAAAATATTGTAAGGTACGCAGACCTGTTGCGTTGATGAGGATAACAATGACATATAATGCAACCTAGACATTCGATCGTGACACTGCATCTGTACTGCTTCATGTTAATGGAAAATTCAGGAAAAATTCATCACCACTACTGGTGATCAAAAACAGTGCAGCATTAAGTTTACAGTGCCAGTGAGAATGGCATAACAGACAGTAGATTGATAGTAATACAGCTGACTAGATTCAGTTCTCATAATCGACACAATCCATGTGTATAATGATACTATACACTGAATTAATGCACTAAGTGGCACAGTAAGGAAATTTAAACGAGTGATTGCCTTCTCCACGGCACTGCACTTGCAATAATCATGACAACCACCTACGTTTGCTAGCCAAGCAGTCGGCTAAGGAGACAATGGCACAATATAAATAAAGTTGAGGTATTTTTTATACATTGAGTCCACATAACTCATATTACACTACACCAAACAGTGCAAATATACATGAAATCCACTTAGAAATAACCTCTCAACTTACGATAATTCCTGTCCAAATATACATATGGTGAGACAAATCCACATGATTACTTCTATTCCCACAGAAGGTTCTGTTAGCATTTACAGGTGATTTCGAAGTACTGATAGAATTCTTTTGTCAAAAAGGACTGTTCTTCACACGGAAATACGTTGAATTAATATCCTGAGACGTGAAGTCTCCATTGAATGATACCATGACGAAAGGTGCAGCATCTGAATACAGTAGATTATTTTTGTAGATGAAATTACCCTTCAACTACCCTATCTTTCTCACTATAGCGATATTTTGCTACAGTTCGCTTGAAACAATATGCTAGGGGGTGTCGCAGTCAGATTACATGACGCGGACACCATAATAACAGGCCAGAAAATGGGAATTCTCATCAATCCAGATAACATATAACGCAATTTCATTAAAAATTATTGACAAAAAAAATTTCCAAGGGAAATTTTAACAGCGCTACTAGAACATGGCATTTAACGTCTACCGAATATTACTTGGGTTAAGTGGGAAAATAAGGACCTTATTTCGTCAAAAAGATGGGATTATTGGGTAAATTGTTCTTTGAAAAAGTGGATGCAAAGGGGAAAAGTGACCAAAATGGGTGAAGTGGTTAAATTATGTAGCATATTCATCTTCCTTTTCCTACCTATTTGCCGACCGAAATTACCCATTTAGCCCACGTTTTGCCCACATTGCTTAGGTACATTCTCTGACTGGGATGACAGTTGGCTACATATTTTCTCTTTTCCAATGAGCTTGTTGTCTAAGCACCGCTTAAGTACTAGAAGTAGATGAAATCTACTGCGTTACTCGTGCACAACATCCATAATTCCGCCCAAGCATTACGGACTCTTCTGGTCTGCAGCTCAAGGTCATTGGTGCGTTCACTAGGTGGTTTCGTTTTGAGCTGCTATAGTTTAGTCACCACTGTTTAACTTCCTCCTCCTTTAATATACTAGTAGAAGATTTCTCATTATCTGAGAACGTACATCTATGTGAAAACGAAGGTCCCGAAATCAATATCCTGTTCTGAACAATAAAAGTTTTTTAATATTTGCATTGTTGAAGTTAAAAGAAGACAACAGTGGGAACATTTAAAGGTTTCAAATCAAGTGGGAGTCCCAGTAAACGTACTCAATGAATACCCAAAGATTAATGTTAGACCCGCAGAAGCGAAAACATGTTCGGACTTTATAAATAAAGTGTTGCTCTAGCTCTGTATTGTTAACAGTTTCTGGTCTAACATAGCGTTAATACGACTGGATTGGATACAAAAGTTTCTTGCTGTAACCTCTTGACTAATCTCCCTCACAGGCTAATTGAGAAGCTTATCACAAGGTGATAAGCACCTGAGGATGTTCTGCCCGGATGAACTACCTTCCATAGAAAAGGATTTAAACAAATTAGATTTTAGCTTCGTAGTTCAGGTAATCGTAGTGACCAACAGTAATTGTTAAAACCGGGGACCTACAAATGGAAAGCCTATCTTAATGTGATGATCGACTATCCATACTACTTTATTATTTAAATAACTAGTGTTGATTGTTTCTGTTTGTAGTATTTACACAATACAAATAGTTCCGCTAAATAGGAATCTTCAATTTCTGTCCTCTTTGGGATTTATCTGGTCTACTAGCATTCGTCTCTTTCAGACCACAAATGCAATTAAGCATCATGCACAACCTTCTTCAGGAGATATATTTATTTCGACAGGGGCTTACAAAACCCATTTAGTAACTCGCTCACGTCAAGATGACTATTACAGCCATGGGCTCACTTTTCATCGCAGCACACTTGTAGATGTTCACTGTCAACAGCTAGACAACGTCAATACTAAATTGCGTATCAAGACAGATACCTTAGTAAGTCAAGGCTTGTTGGTTGTTGTATGTTGTTATATTGTCGACACGACTTTTCAATCAATCGTCAACAATTATCCGGAACTTAATTGTTCAACAAACTATTTTCTGTGCATAACCAGTGGTGTTATTCACCAAATCTCAACTACATAATAACCAGTGTTATCAAAAGCCCGATGACCTCCTCCACACAATGTAGGACTGGCTAAGAATGGGTCCGACTATGTGCTGAATCGTGCTATTATTCGACCGTCAGATAGTCTGTGGGTTGCAAACATTCCAACAATTTATCGAAGAAGCATTCCACGGTCTGGATTTTGTACACTTGTACCTAGGCGGCCGCCTCATGTGAAGTAAAGATGGGGAAATCCACCTCCAACTCTTCCGCTTAGCCTACAACAGATTGCGTTAATAAAAAGTTACGGAAAGTGCTTAAAAATGGCTAGTAGGAGTAGAATTCTTCGACTACCTTGGGCATATCACTGACGCACACTAGCCAGTAAAGACGAAGGAATTTTGAACCTTCTGAATAAGAAAAACATGATACACTTTTTCTACTTCACCTGGTGAATTATTATCAATGGTGTACTGCCAACTGTTCTATTTTAATAGGGACACTAGCAAGCTTTCTTTGTGGGAATACCTAGTTCATACGCTTTGAGGCATTCTCTGAAAACACTCTGGTGAAGGTTAAGAATACTACACCGGATGTCATCTTAATGCAACAAGTCCAAACAGCACCTGTAAGCGTTTCAGTAAACGTATTCAACTCTACAATTGGTATAGTCTTACACCACCTACTAACTAATTAGTGGCAGTCAGTTACCTCCTTATTGATGTGGTTTCATACAACGGAAATCAAACAAGTTGTTTTTGGCAGAGAGATCCTAGCTATGTTGTGGGCTGCACATAAATTTAGACATCTAATGGAGGTTCATAAATCCCCAAATCGAAGTTCACCCACATACTCTCTGAACTCAATCTCAGATATTCACCAGGAAAGCCTCGCCAGCTAGAGCACAATTTCCGGGTTAACCTCCGATGTCTGAAATGTGTCTGAGATTAATAACACTTCTGTGGATGCCTTGTCGTGTATCTCCTCCAAGCATTTTGACAGCACAGACCTTGTGGAACCGGTTCGTCTGCAAAACGGGGCAAGGAGTTTCAACATTAGATGCTGACGGCAAATTACAGGAAATACCACTAGACTTAGTTAAGAAGACTACCTTTTTCGACGTTACCACAAATTTCCTGTCGAAACAGTGGCTCACACTTTTATGGTGAAATGAACTGCGAATTTCGGATGATTATCCCCGGCAAGAAATGACTGAAAGTGTTAATTAAAAGTGGGCTGATTTTAGCTTTACCCAAATTTTTAGGCTGCGAACATTTCAGAACAACAGACCACTGTCCCCAGGTGAATGGTGTAACACGGCGCTTCCAATGATAGTCGGAGGCCAGACTACCAGCTGAACCTAGGTGGGACGTGAGTTCCTTCAAGAGTGAAAATACGTCTTGCTGACTGGTGAGTGCCAACAAGCACGAATTATATGGGAAAATTCCTGGTCCGAAAAATAAACAGTAATAAAACTGAGTTACTATCTACCACATGAAACGTGCGTGCGTGGACAATAACTCTGTGTACTTAAAGAAATAGAACCCTAGAACAAAACAGAAGACATGCATTCTTCGAGAGCTGTGGAGTTCCCTGAACACCTTCGAACATATATTACACGGTATACCAAAACAATACTTCATTTTTTATATAAATTGGTTCCCGCTCAGCGTGCATGATTTCTCACAGCTATATCTGGAAGTTCATTGGTGATAACAGGCGAGCTTGTCTAAAACTCCTATCTTCACATGAAATTCTACGGTTTGCCTGGCATTGTGAATTACTTGACGTGTAGCATCATCATGTAGCTGTTGAATGGCACTTTTTTGTGTGATATTCTATGGTGATAAAGGAGTTACCAAATTACTTCGAGATCAACATTGCCGATTACCTTCTGCAAGTTGACTTAAAAAGTTGACTACAATTTCAGGCCACTTTCGATAGCAAAGTATAGAGCCGCTTGGTCCGGACATGGTTTGCATTTCCAGAATTCAGCTTGTCCCGAAAGGACACATGTTACTAATGTCAGTTTGTAGTTTGGCTGTTGATACAATACGGCTTCACATTTCCCGCTGGTGGATGATCAGTGCCTATAGAGAGTCTTATGACATTTTTATTTCGCGTTTCAACATTTGGATATGAAATATTAGGTAGTTGAAAACTGCATCATGTCTTCTGTGTTATAATAGGTCTTTGGCGGTACTACGAGTTCTTACGCTACACTAGGCTGCGTGAGTATGGTGACGATACGGAAATATCCCGTGTGTGTTGGTAGAGAGAAAGGATTGAAGAAGACTAAGAATGTTCGACCGAAAAAGCCATCAAACAGAAGAGGAGTAAGTTGTCTTTAGTTGTTAAACTGTTGTTTAGCGTATATCCAAACAAGCAAAGTTCGCACGGAGTCTGATCCGTGAAGTTGTTGGTTTTGCACCTTTTGAAAAGCGAATGCTTGAATTGCTGAAGAACGATAAGGAAAAGAGAGCTCTTAAGTTTGCCAAGCGACGAATTGGAGGTCACAGAAGAGCCAAGAGGAAAAGGGAAGAAATGATGTCCATTGTTAAGTCAGTGAGAATGAAATAAATTGGAAATATACGCCTGAACTCGATTGATTTATCGTTCTCAGTATTTATGTCTTTTATGATGGTTATTGTTGTGCAAGTAATCTAAGCCTGCTGGTGTTGGATGAATCGCGCGTGTCCAAGGACATTCTACAGCTTATTACGATAGTTACGGTACTAGTCAGTGAGCTCCAAACCAATGCATTGTAGTGTAGACTACATTTAGCTTCAAGCACTAAGGAGTTTTTAAGTGTATGTAACAAAATCAAGGGTTGTCGGTTAATATGCAGGTGTACACAATCTTTAGGTATACAGAATCGTAGTCATTATGATGTTCATTCAACCTGTAATGCAAAACCAAGTCTAAAGGTAACAACATGGATACTTTTCGCTTGTGTTGACGCACTTAGAAGAAGTAGTTATGTTCATTTGTAGGGTTGTTGTCAAGATGTAGTTAAATGAAAAGCCTGCTATCGCAGTTGAGTAATATTTTGCAAGCCAGAATAACTGCTTGAGTTGTCATAGACTTCTTATTAGTTCATCGGGAATCGGTGGGGTAAAGTTAGTGAGATATTATGTACAGATCTGTTGAAAGTCCCCATAGTCAGTTCCTACTAGCTAGGCTGGAGCGTTTCACATATTGACAGACACGTGCAAAAAGGACTTTCAAGAACTGTTTGGTCTTCAAACTCAAAGTATCCCCATAGCTGTGAGTTTTGCTTGTATGCGTTCACATCAACGTTTTCGTCGACTGAACGGAAGTCTTCCTATAATCTTCGTTTTCTCTTATCTCCTCATATTTCTGCACCCCACTGGTTGTCCTCATAACTAATAACCGTTAACATTTGTGTTGATGTAAGCTAGTGATGTTAACATAGCACCACTTATCTAGATTACCATCAGTACCTGGCTGCTGTGCTTTTTTGGAAGTGCCTGTTCTACACTGCTGCGTATCCCAGCGAGCTCTGTTAAAAAATTGTTCTCTGCTCTCAGGCGACTCTCTGAATAGAGGTAAGAGTTAAGCCCACTGCTGTAGTTCGTTTGCGATGTTTCAGTTTTACTTTTCTGGTTTAGTTAAAATATGATGGCAGCTGATAATTTCAATTGAATAGCCACAATTAGTCTGTGCACCATGGGGAGGTGCATTTATTATTATGCATTTCTCCTCTTACTTTGTGTGCTACATGGAGTGGGGCGACTTGAACTGCCGCACATATGTGCAAAGTTCCTATGTCGAAAATAGACAGATGGGGAGGTGTTGAGAACATTTTACTTCGAATCATGCTGTTGCTGTCCATCACCACTAGACTTGACTGTTTGATTTATAAAGCTCTCGAATAGATTTCATTTGACTAACCACAACTAGTCACACGTAGAGACTATTTTCAGTTACAACAAGATATTTATACCTATAGTGTAGTCATCCGAAAACCTCAAGTCTTGTTTGATCACCAACCACTTAATTACTTTTCTTCCTACTAAGTGTACATTACTTATAACTTTCAGGTTTGCAGCGGACTTCTGTGATAAAGCACATACATTCTTGAGGCTGAGCGCCAAAATACACATTTTAGCTTTAAGTGTGCGTATTTTGATGCTTAATCAACCCGTTGCCGAAAATACCACGTTACATTCGGGATGTTTACTCTTTTGTTGTGAGACAAAATCCAAATATTTTAATTTACTTAGCCATAGTAGTCAGACACTATGTTTTGAGTATCTGTAGGTCCAATAGCAAGTTCTCAAACCTAAAATTTAAGGTGTAATATCAAGTCCTAGGGCAAGGAGGTCCTTACTGTGGCATATTCTATTTGACAACAACATTCGCTGTGTTACCTTAAATAGCCCTTACAGAGATAGAATAAGTCTTCACTCACCAATGTGTATTTGTAGTCTTCTCTTACACATTCACTGTAGCTCAGATGAAGCATAGGATGAATTATGTACAAACCTGTTTCATTGAAAGATGCTAAACATTCGGATTTCGTTATAGCTTGTCTAAGGAAGACGAAAAGGCACTTAGGCGATACTGTTAGATTGCTGTTTGCGGAACGGATGTTACTGCTCGCCTACCAAAATAAGTATCCGTTTTCAAGTCAGTACTAACTCTCAACTTATAGAAACAGCCAGATATGTAACATACTGTCCGTGTTGCAGTTATGAGGGTTTAGTTAAACGATGTCATTCCTTCTACAGTACATATTTGAATAGTGACCGGTTTGAATAGTAATTAGGGAATGGTGGAAGGAGTTTCTCACCTTCCAAGTGCAAATAGCTTCTCTAGGACATTTACCTGGTTGACATGTTTCCGTCAACTGAATTAGGCGTAGGAAAGTATGTGCAGAAGATGAAATAACACTAATGTAGGACAGATATCCTCTATTCATTAAGCTTACTTTGAAAATAGACGGAAGCGCATCGAATATTCGATAAACTCAGCTAATAACTCCACTATGGATAAGATTTTATTTCGATAAATCACACATTGTTGTACAGTAATATTTACTGATGACGTTTCGGGCATAATAGAGTTATAGTGTACCACAGTGCCCAAGTTTTATACTTACATCGATTAAACTCAGCAAATGATGGAGATTTGGTTTAATAGTGTTTTGGAACTAATTTTGGTGTGGTAAATGCATAATGTTCTCCACTAACCAACATCCTAAATGCTTCTTTCTCCAAAAATATCGTACCTGATGCATGGAAAGACATCAAAATTGTCCTTGTCTCTAAACCTGGAAACGGCAAGAACGTAAAGTTCAGACCCATTGCCATCACTTCCCCGTTTCTAAAGCTTATGGAAAAACTTATACTTCTTAAACTTGAACCCTCCCTTAAAAACTTCGAAGACCCCAAACAATTTGCCTATAGACAGGGTAGGAGTACATTAGACGCCGCAGCTGTCTTAACAACATCGTCTCATCATTAGATAAAGGTGCCAAATACGTCCGCTGCACGTTTCTTGACTTCACTTCTGCTTTCGACTCTGTACCTAGATGTCTCCTGCTAAATAAGCTCCCTTTGACAAAAACTGAGTCCTGGGTCCCTAACTGGTTGCATTCCCACTTCTCTAACAGAATGCAGTACACCGTATACAAAGGTAAATCCTCCTCTGCTGTACTCACTGAAGCCGGAGTCCCCCAAGGCTCTGTACTCTCCCCACTTTTCTTTCTTTCTACATGACTTACCATCTTCAAATGACATTAATTTTGTCAAATACGCTGACGATCTGTCTGTATCTTTGCCTATCAAATGTCAAAGCGACTGCTCTAAACTTAATGGCTTTCTGTCAGAAATTAGCCAGTGGTCCAAGGAAAATGGTCTTCCCCTAAACCCCTCCAAATACCAAACAGTCAATTTCACCTTTAGGCATAAATCTGACCTAAACAAATTGTTTGGCTCTCATGAGGTATGCAACATAGAAGGCACTGAAATAGAAACTAAATCGGAAATTATATGCCTAGGCATCATTCTATCTGCTGATCTCTCCTGGTCGTCTCATATCTTAGCAATTTCTAAGAAAATATTCCGTCTTACCTTCTACATCAAGAAGTTAAAACATTCTGGTATTACCCAACCCTTACTCCTACAATTCGTTAATTCTCGCATCCTGCCTATTATTCTCTATTGTTCCCCCTTAGTTTTTCCCGGGCTACTGAAGAAAGACTATACCTTATTACGCAGGATGTTAAATGTTGTCAGCAGGGTAAGCAACGTGCCATTTAACCAGCTTGTTAATATTCTGGTTGACAGGCACATGAACTCATGTGAAAAATGGGCCAAGTCCATTTTACCCAACTCACACCACCCTCTTCACTCACAACTCTCCCCTTGCATCTCATCAGGTAAAACCAGAAGCCAATATAGAAAACTATATACTCGCACCAGCAAGTACAAAAACTCAACCATACCCTACTTAGCTGGTGTTCTGTGCGATAAAGAAAGCATTAGGCGTGATACCTATAATTCATTAAATAGTCAGTAGTACAACCGGATCTCGTCTTTCCAACTCACATCATCAATAGGTACAACATTTTCCTTCTTTCTTTTCCTTTTCTCTCTCTTCTTTTTCCTTTATGTGCTGCTTTGTTTCTTTCTCTCGCTAACACCAGTAAATATGACAGCTCCCACTTTTCTAACACCTTCAAACACTGTTTCAGCTTTACCTTTGCTACTGACATGCCAATGTATTGTTGTAATAATGAACTGTGGTTTCCTCAATCTATGTAGAATTCTATATATTGATAATGTACTAACTGGATGCAATACTGTAGTAAAAATGCTGAGAATTCCATTCTGTATCACATGTACTGTTTTGGAATAAAGCAAATTATTATTATTAAATAATGATGCTAATTTGTCTCGTAGGAGTGATTTCTAGTTTACTTGCATCACTACCGGTTTGATTTCAGAACACTAGGCTTTAACGTTGGAATATCCTAATCTACTCAGGACATTTTGAAGGCTGTGCATTTTATGTATATTAATTCCTTGGGATTACTACTAATATAAGAAATAAGACGGTTTGTTGTGGAAACTGTCTTATGAATTTTTGTGGGTTTTATGGCTTTTGAATTTGCTAATATCTAGCAGTGTCAGACAAATTTATGGTTAGTAAGTGATGTACCTGCGAAGTCCTAGTAGTACTGAAAACTTTGTGGATGTCTTCTCATCAAATGTGGTTCACTTCAAACTTAATCTATCAGTCACACATCATCTTAATTTAGTAGCTTTTTTGATTAATTGTACTAAACACAGGAAAGCATAAAAATAATCATTAATACCCAATGAACAAAGACTATAGGTTGTTTAGGTTAAGGCTTTTCTCGGTTTCGAGTGTTCCGAGACTTTCACTTCCATCGATGTTGCTTCTTGATAAGTTTAAGTTGTGCGTGCAAATAATAATATTAGAGGAACCACTTTGAAATAATGCTTTTACTTAAAGGATATTAATAGTGAGGTTATCGGGGATAGTTCTGAGTTGGCAGACAGCTAAAGATGTCATTTGTGATGACTGTGGACACAACATGAATCTAGTTTCTGGCAGGCATCTGGATTACTCACCAGGTACTCCTATCCGTTAATCCTCATCGCTCAGCTGACTAGAATGCTGCTGTGATCCAGATGTACATTTTACTTTTACTCACTTCGAACATACGGTTTAAGCGTAGAAAACAACTGCATATGATGAACTCAAATTCTATCGGTAGTAATTTTCTGATCGCTAGGAGGTTGGTTATTTTTTTACTTTTTGTACTCCTATTGATTTTCGCATCTCATTCTTCTATTTAAGATTAAAGTTTAAATATAGTGTTTATCAGCTTGATTTGTAGACGCAACAAGGCACACTGACTATATATATAGCTCATTTTTACGTCTGATCCATCTGAAAGTATAATATATTCACGTACAACAACGGCAGGTTGTTCTTAAACCTGAGACAAAATTTTCAGTGACATTAATTTGCCAAAAGAAACTTCAATGTCTGGAATGTTGGAAATGAAATCTTGAGGAAAGATTACATACAAGCTTCAGTCATTATGGTCTTTGCCTACTGATAGATTATTTCTGTGGGAATGTAATCAGGTTCACTGCCAAACCTAAGTAATCGTTACATGAACACAATTTTGTATCTGATTGTGATGTGGATGCCCATTTCCTAAATACAAACATTTATTATCAGTTTTATCGTTTCCTCTTCCTAGTTACACCATTTTATCCCAGAAGGAATATTTGAAAGTTCATGAAGCAGCGCGAATGAGCCGCTTGTAGGGAAATATTCATAGAAGACATAAACTTAGAGAAAAATGTTAGCATAACTCGAATCACAAACCTGTGTAACAAAATATAGAAGGGTTGTAAAAGCAGAATGCTGCGTAATACACATGTTACTGTCTAAATATCTGGTGGTGTGCCACTGACTCATTAGTCAACCATCGCCTGTTTATAATTCGTAAAGAACCGAACTCAAAGATGATGCGTAACATTTTTCATAGCTGACTTCATTTCAGATTGTGAATTATCTAACTGCAGAGTTTTGTAGTGATTTAAGAAAACCTTTACACTCCAAGAATTATTTACCCTACATGTGCTTTTAATATACCAAGAATCAAGAACCTACCGCTCAATAAACACGCCAAAGAGAATGGAAATAATTGGGCACACGCTGAGGAGACCGTTGGGTGGCATCTCGTTCCAGGCCACCGAGTGGAACAGGAATGGAGAACGACGAGTGGGGCGTCCGAGGGTGACATGGAGGGGATGATATGCTATGCTTAATCTTGGGACCAGCCAAAGAGGACTGCAGAGAACAGGATCAAGTGAAAATATGCTGTTGAAGCCCTATGTTCTACTTAGAACCCAAGGGAATAATAATAGTGCTTATAATGCACAGTTATGTTCTTCCCGATATTATTGTGATCATCGTCGAGTGTGACTGCTAAACGTGCGTTTTAGCCGGAAATACCAGCTGTTCCAAAATATCGGAAATAACAAATTTCTCTTGAAACATAGGTCAATGGTTTAAACTCTTAGGACTTTACTTCTAGTCGAATCCTATGTATTTTATAAATTTTGCCAACCTGAGTCGTAAACTTCAATAAAATACAGTTGCTCGTTACAACTCAACGTCTTTTTAATAGATATGCGTTTCTGACTTGAAAATGATCTGTTGGTCATAATCGATGATATATAAAAGTATTTATTTGAGGGATTTTTTTACACTAATGCTCAGTATGTTGTCTCAGCTGCATTTTCAGTCATCTCATATTAAACAGTTTAGAATTGCGATATGGAGACAATCATCTAAGGTGTATCTCACCTAATATTAACGAGTCTCTGGCACATCTTCAGGTATAGTTGGTTTTTCAAAGAAATATCAGTTGAAATGTAAAATTCCAGCACTGATGCTGCTTATATTAACAACTTCGAATCATCCAGATCACTAAAAATAAGACTGAATGAACATAAACGCCTAACTAAAGATCTTCCAACAGGAACAAAAGCTTACAATAATATAGAAAAGAAATGGTCTATAGCTGCACATGCACCATGGATTTAATGAATGATGCTTGTGACACAACATGGAATACATGAAAGGAAGTCAAAAAAGCACAATACGGCAAATGTATTTTGCCTATATATATTATACATGGAGTTGCGGATAAAAAACTCTGTTGTTGCCACTAAATACTCTTGTATTCTGGCGTTACAGCTTGACTACTAGGCGGCGGCCTTTCAAGGTGATTTTCCCTGTCAGAGATGAAAGACTATTTTTTCAAATAAGATACTTTCTCACACTCAACAATTGCATATCACCACCACCATACAAGGATCTTTCAAACACAGGTGCTCAGGAAAACATTGACTCCCTGGAAAATACTAACCTGGTTGAGTTATCTTATATACACTCTTTCCTCGAGGATTCGGAAGATACGCAGTGCGGAAGTGATTGACGAAGAACTGCGTAATCTCCGAGGAACCCTGATGAAAAATGGTTTTCCGCCTAGGTTCATAGACAAGAATCTAAAATTAAAGAAGACTTCCGAACAAGTCCGAGCCGTCCCGAAGAAGATACTTCGGCTTAATCCACAGTTCGAAGGTGACATTGAAGTGGAAATCCTTCGTAGACGCCTCTGCAAGTCACTGAGGAAAACAAACTTTGCCGCGAGCCTACGACTGACGTTTTCCTGCAATAAAGCGTTCAGCCAGAACGCGAAAGACAAGCTGTCGCATTGGGCCACTCCAACGTGCATATACCAGTTTACTTGCTCTTGTGGAGCTGAGTACATCGGCCGTACCATGTGTCAACTTGAAAAACGCGCTCGTGAACACTATCCAGCCTGGTTCAGAACATCTAGTCAATTCAGGACATCCAGCGTCATTCGAAAAACCCTTCAAAATAATATACAAGATTCGATACAACCTATCAAAGGGAGTAAAATTAAGACATGTGGGCATAGCCGAGGCACTAGCCATCCAAAAACTCAAACCCACACTATATATCCAAAAGAAATACGTCCAACCCTTGTCCCTGCCGCGGTCATCATTAACAAGTAATTCTTCTGATACTGCCTTTCCTATCCATATTTTCATATCCGAACTTCCTGTCTATTTGATCATTTTATTATTTCTACATATTTAATCCCTGACTGCATAAACAATTATTCGTCACATTAGTTATGATCCCACTAGATTTTTTATACAAACATCCTGTCTATTTTTGATATTTCTACATGTCTAGCCTCTAATTGGACAATATGTCAATCTTCTCAGTAATTATGATGCTAGTTTGTTTGAGTTTCATCCGCCCCCTGTTTATTTTGGCACTTTAATCTCCAATTGTGATTTCATTAATCTGACCCTCGACCGGAAATTATTCTGGAGCTTTCCCACCCATTTATCATTAATACACGAATGTACAGCCTAGTTGATGATTTCGTCGAAAAGAAAATTTTCTTCGCTGCAACCGTCTTTTTAATAATTCCTATGATCCAATGTGTATATACCATAATTATATTTGTTTGAACTAAGGTGCCCGGAAAGTTTTTTTATATTTCTAAGTACAGCGATATGAGCCATACTTACTATGTGATGCTTGTGGATACACTAGCGAGTCGCTCAGGCTGAAGTAGATGGGATGACACTCGAGCCCGAGACTTACTGGCTAAAACCGAAATGTTTGAATTGATGAGGAGCCACGGTGTTTTTTTCCAGAATAGAGGAAAGAACGCTGTGAGTTTCCATTACGCATGCGCATGTGTAAAACTCTTAATTAATATAATATGGTTAGTGAAATGAAGACACATGCTGGTGCCACCGTCCTGTGTTCCACCCGAAAACCAAGGAAGTAATTAATAATAATATAAAAGAGTATTTATTAGAATATAAAAATAACATTTAAATGCTTCACTTATGATTACAAGTATATAAAACTGAATCAAAGATACTCTCGCTTACTCAATAAGTATGAGAAGTGTTTAATAATCTTCGTAAGAAAATAAAAAATAAATCCGCTCTCTCTCTTCAATTTGAAAAAAAATTTACATTTCATGATTAGTAAAATATTTTCATCTGGTATAATTAGTTTGAAATGCACGTTTACACACATATATATATACGTATATACCAAAGAAAAGAGTCCAAAAAAAAATATATACCATGTATGAGAATTTGAAAAGAAAACAACTAAAATATCCAGTGTAAAATTTCACGTGTTTCCCTGTTGATTTAAGCAGTATAATACTTCAGATTTAGTGCAGTTAAGACGTACAAGCATTGCAATATCACATCGTGATCTCTCAGTTAGCAAGAGTTTATGAGCTCCTAGACTAGCACAGATAGCAAATACTTCGGATGTAGTAGGGCATGGAACACCTAAAAACAAAAAAAACAGTGTCATTGAATGTAAATGGAAACATATCAAGAGTTATTACATTGTAGAGATTTGACGCATTGTTATCAGTTACAGAACTAATGAGTACTGGACAGCTGTTTCCTGCGTCCTAGTTTGAGACTCACCGACAGTACGCACCCACTGGGTATCGAAGCCAGGACCTTCTGGTTACAAGGTCAGCAAGCTCGTAGACCATTCAGCCACTGGGACCCGATTCAATGTCCCGTAAATTTACCGATATGGATCCCACTGGTCACGACTTCTCACTAGTCCAAAACTACAACGAGACAGCCAACCAGTACTCCCTGGTGGTTTTTGAATGGTTCTCTAACTTATATCAATCAATCTGTGACCAAACAGGAAGCATATCAACTGATTTATAAAGTAAACCTAAACTGCTGAGATAATAAAAGAGAAGTTAAGAATAACTGACTGACTGACTGCATAAAAGTATGAATCTCACTAAAATTAATCAATAAAAATACATGATAGATATGAGCACTGCCATTATGAGAAATAAAATGGCGCTTATTTGATTCACATGGAATTTCTAATGTAGGTTATTTTTTCAGCAAAAAAGCTTTTCTATGCTCGATTTCTGTAAATACTCCATTAATTATACTATACTGTACTGAATTTTTTATTCCTTCACGTTCCCAGTGGAACATAGGGCTTCAAGCTAGAGGCTTAAAGTGTCTGTAGCAGTGTTTATTTTTTTACAGGATGGTGTTGCTAGCCTCATACCCAACCTTCCCTCTTTACCAGCTTTATTTCTGGCTTAGCAAGGTAAAGGAGTGAGTCGGCCGGGGATCGAACCCCGGACCATATGCATGGTTGGCGAGCGATCTAACCGCTATGCCACCGTGCGACGGTCAACTTAATGGGTTCAAAATTAAAACTGTACCTTCCATCTTCAGTATTATATTGAAGAATTTAAAAAAACGACTTTACAAACCTTCAAGTCGACATAATGCTGACATCTGACGAATACATCGATCCAATCTAGCCTCTTCTGTTGATCGTGCTTGAAATTCAGCAATAACAGCTCGAAGAAACAATTTCTCATAAAGTGAACAAGCCGATATAGCTTCTGATTTAGGCGTGGTAAACATTTCTTTCAAAGCAGCATTAATATGATAAATGTCTATTTCTTTGTTAGACTTATCCGTGGATAAGGCAATCTCTGCAGCTCGCTTACAGATATCAAGAGCACGTCGAACGTCGCCTGATACTGCAGCCACTTTACGTGCAGCTAATTCAAGAGCTTTAGGCTAAACAATAGAAAAAGAAGAGGAGAGCTTAGCGAAACTATGAAATGATAATACAAAGGATAGAACTTTAAACATTACTTAGATTGAAACAGGTACTTTATGTAGGCATAATACGGAAAATCAAAATTTTTCTAACGCAGCATACAGCAAAAGAAAAGACCAAATAAATACAAGATACTAAGAAGTATTACTGGTGTCGGTGATTCAACGGTAGAATACCCACCAATGACGCACGTGGTCCGGGGTTCGATTCCCGACCCAGCTGACGCACTTCTAAACCTCAGCCGGTAGAGACGCTGGGTTGGATGTGAGGCTAGTAATCCCACCTCGTAAAGAAAAATAACATCACACGTTCTGTCACTGGGCTTTTGAGGGAGAATCAGGTTGCAGTAATTGTCCAACTCAGTTGCATCCAAATTCCATAGTAAGTTTGACTTTCCAGACATCGTCTTTGCTCTTAAAATCCACTCTGAACAAGTCTTCGTATCTGAGAAACCAAGTATCGAACGTATTGTTTGCATCTGGGTCACATAAATAAATTCAGATATGCTTCTTCCAATATTGTCCTTGGCTGGAGGTCAATCCGTAGGGAAGGATATCCATAGACCAATAAGCAACTCCATCATCTTAAGCTGCTACTCCACTGATTTCTACAAGCGTCATGGGTCCATCTTCATAAATCGCCCGTTGCCAAATATTGTTAAATTTTGCAAACTGCTGAGTTGAAATAGGGATGCCGAGCGGGTGAAAGACGCGGTAGTCACAAGCATCGTTTGTCACCACAGCTAACCGATCTCTCAGGCCGCGACTTAAGCAAGAGTACACAAAAGGACAAAACGGAAACAAGTATATTTACACAATAACGTATAATTCAAAAAATCACCAGGGAAATCAGCCAGTCTGTAGTGGATGAACTTCATATAGGCCAATTCTGGTTGGTTTATTTCCACACTGTACATCGATCACGTATCGAAATTTGACTTATTGGCTCAGTCATTCGGCTTTTTGCCAATAGGCCCCGGGGTTACAACATCCCTCCACCTACTTCACTCTTGGTAACTGGGTTGCATATATATATATATATATATATATATATATATATGATGCTGAATGTCCTGAATTGACCAGATGTTGTCACTGAACTATATACACTTTTCCGTTCTCCTTTTACTAGCCAGGCTAGATAGTGTTCACGAGCGCGCTTTTCAAGTTGACTCATGGTACGGCCGATGTACTCAGCTCCACAAGAGCAAGTAAACCGGTATATGCACGTTGAAGTGGCCCAATGCTACAGCCTGTCTTTCGCGTTGTGGCTGAACACTTTATTGCAGGAAAACCTCAATCGTAGGCTCGCGACAAAGTATGTTATCTTCAGAGATTTGCAGAGCCGTTTACGAAAGAATTCTGCTTCAATGGAACCTTAAGCTTAAGATTAAGCAGAAGTATCTTCTTCGGGACGGATCGGACTTGTTCGGAAGTCTTCTTTGATTTGAGAATCTTGTCTATGAACCTAGGCGGAAAACCATTTTTCATCAGGGTTCCTTGGAGATTACGCAGTTCTTCGTCAATCAGTCCTAACACTATAAAAAATATAACTTATAATCTGACCTATGCGAAATCTGTTCCGAGTAATTGAGTTCTCGTGAACAAGCATCATGAGAAGCACCTATGAGGCAGAACCCATCTTACTTCAGATAAACGTGGAGCAGACAATCCAAAATAACAAAATGAGTAATTAATAACTATTTTCAAGATATATGATGCGATCCAAGTGCAAAATCTGAGAAGATTCTGAAAATGGCACATTGCATAAGTGGATAATGAAGAAAATGTATAAAAAAAGGCCACTGTTAGATGGTTGGAGGTAATCGATAGGAAGCCTTGGGGACGTTGGTACTCGTCATCAGCAAGGCGTATCTGTGATGTTCGAGAAACTCATGTCCCTTTTAATACTCGAACCCGGGTCACCACCCAGTGGTGCTACAGTCACAGACTTTACTACTGAGTTGTTTACGTTCGTAACTGACCTTCTGTCTGGATTCAACATAGAACTTGGCAGCGAAGTGCAGCAGTTCGAGTTGCCACGTTCCAAAGAGCACACAAAGGTAGACAAGAAGATGGGTGAAGAGAATCAATAGAGTTTTGACAAGTATAAGAGTGAAACAGAATGAGTAATGGTAGAAAGGAATATGAAAGATTACAGAGACTGAATACATCTGCGTAAGCCATTGACAACGATTTTGAGCCATATCATCTATTGTCTCCAGCCATTGATTCTTAGAGTCCCGAGGGCGGGCCCCAACCCGGAAGTCTGTATCTCCCTACCTGACTCAGTTTAACTGTCAAGGATTTCATGGATTGATAAGGCCATGTTTTGTTTGGCCACCACTTACTCTTTTCCAACCTGCACTTATTTCAGCTAGTAATGCCCGTCCGTCGGGGGAGGCGATGGTTAGGCATGCGTAGCACATGACCTAGCCATCTCAATCGATGTAACTTTATAGCCTCGTCGATTGATTTTCCTTCTTTGCCCAACATTCTAAGCCTAACGTCAACATTACTTACCTTATTATACCACCTAACGTGACCTTCTGTAGGACTGTAATGGATGCTATGACTGAACAGTATTATAGGTGGTAGTAATCAATGTCATAAGCCTTGACAGGCAAACTTGAATGATCGAATCCAATCTGCACCAAACGGTGGAATAGGCACATTTGACACTAAGTACTACCAGCTAGTATCCAATCAAAGTAAATCAGAAAATAACATAGACTACACAAACAAATTATCAAGGTAAATAAATAGCGGGTTAGATAAAGAAAGATTTTATCTATAATAATTTCTATATACTCCACAATATGAAATACAGTAAATTATTCAAAAAGCAGATAAATAAAAGAAAACTTGGCAAAATAGGAGGAATGATAATATTTTAGACGAAAATTGCACATACTACTACTAATACTACTACTACTACTACCAGTAATAGTCTACTTACCTGAAACGAATCCGATAAAGATGAAAGACGATGGCGTACAATTTGAGCAAGTTGTTCATGAGAATACGGTGTAAACGTGAGCCTAGTAAAGCCTAAACGACTAGCTACTCTTGGATGAAGTAGACGTTCTGGTAAATCCATAGTATTAGCTATTGCCAGTACAATCAGAGCACGTCGACGATTTTGTCGTGTAGGCCAATCAAAAAGACTATAAAGAATATCTTGTCGTCGGGTACACAACAGATCCAATTCATCAATGACTAAAATAACAGGTCTGTTGGCCTCTTCACGTTGAGATATTTTCCTGACATTTCCATTATGACAAAATTCTTTTTCTAGTAAATCAGAAGCACATTTTGGAGTGGTAATTATACCACCAGTCAATTGCTGAAGGTATAAAACAACAAAAATGGAAAGAAAATAATAATAAATATTCAATCTATACAAAAATCACAATGAAATTGAGGCATGAATTTCTACTAACATAATCTGATTTTATGAGATATGAGAATAGTACTGGAATGGAAAAACAACTTCGAATAATAGTTCTTGGAAGTGGTACACACTATCATAGCTAAATACACACATACACACACAGGTCACGAGATCGTCTTCAGCATAACAGAGATTTTTTGCTTGCCTTATCATTACTATCGGATTTACACCACACACATACATAAACAAATGGTCTACTTCCCCTTCATGCAGTGTATGGAAAGAAAGCTTTGATATTAGATTGAATACTACCTTGTCCTGACTGATAGTTGGCTTCCTTAACGCGACAGTCGGGCGTGCATATCACAATGACTAGATGAAAACCTTACCACCGACTATGAATCGCTTCAGGGTAAGTCAGAGTGTACGAGTTCTGGGATTGACACTTTCTAACTAACTTCTCTGAGGGAAACACTTGATTACTGTTTTAACCCCCCCCCTATTCGCCAGCAGTACGACTTTGTTATCAGACTCCTAACATATTGCAAACGCTATACATTACAGTGGTAATGACATTTATGAAATAATACAACATGCAGGACCATTTTTACATTTCATTGTAGCTCATTGTGTCATACAACACACAATGAGCTACACTGAAATGTAAAAATGGTCCTGCATGTTGTATTATTTCATAAATGTCATTACCACTGTAATGTATAGCGTTTGCAATATGTTAGGAGTCTGATAACAAAGTCGTACTGCTGGCGAATAGGGGGGGGGTTAAAACAGTAATCAAGTGTTTCCCTCAGAGAAGTGGGTTAGAAAGTGTCAATCCCAGAAATCGTACACTCTGACTTACCCTGAAGCGATTCATAGTCGGTGGTAAGGTTTTCATCTAGTCACAACTCCAAAAACTATTTCAAACAGGCCATATAAGACCGGTTCCAAGCAGTTGTGTGTGTGGCGTGTGCTACTGATAAGATTTAGCAGTAGTATATACACAGGTTGATAGAAAGTTATCAAAACTGAAAACAACATTTTAAGTCAGTAGCTACAGAAGTAGAAGTGTTTATTGCTCAAATTTGCATTTAGCTTGCGTTGCGATCAGGAAATGACTTCATTGGACAACTTTTTGTCTCAAGGTTTAACCTTCGTAAAATCGACAACCAATCAGAACAGTCTACTATCCGCTAACCTAGTCGACCACAAATGTGGCTGAAAATGTATAAATATGGTGTGTTTTTCCTTAATAAAAAAGACCGTTACCAAGTGTCTTGTCTTCTTCTGTTACGTGTCCACTGGGCTCCGCAGTCATGCAACTCGCGCCAAATTAAGACAACTACCTCTCCTTCAATAACACTACACTAAATAATAGATTGGTCACCATTCATAACTGCTAAGTAATTAGACTACCTTACAAATTACATAATACATGTAAAGATAGCGTGCAGGAATGATAAATACAGTGAATCTACCTACAGGATTTTCATAAACTATTATACGTCTCAAAACTTCATAAATCGAGTCAACTCGTAATATTACCGACTGATTGAGGTGAGTACACCACTCACATACGCTAGATCGAAGTGATCGTAGCACGGTGTAACGACAGAAGACAAGGGCCAGACAACAGATCGTTTATTTAGGAAATCAACAGATATTTATAGATTTTCATGTACATTATTATAGATTATTGTAAGCAAACAAACACAGTCTTCTGATTGATGGTTTCTCGTTGAACGTTAATCTTTCATCTCTTTGTGGCCGTTTCTTGAAGTTCATATTATCTATCTGATAATTGTATCCGCCTACGCAAAGTCTGCTGTGATTGGTTGTTGAATCAGTCTTTGTTCTCATTTTCCTCACGACTAATATTGGGGACATAAACACTGACGTAAAATACTGTCTACCAATTTTGGCTAGCAGCCAGCTCTCATCACAACGGAACAACCGTTTCGCTCATTCGGGCTCGAGTTCATCATCGACCTATTCCCGGTTTGATTCAGCTCAGAGAGTCGAATCAGTTCAAACCACCCAACTTATAGTTAACTGGTAAAACCTCAAAACAAATTCGTAATTTGCAATTTACACACTGATTCGCCATCCAGTGTCTAGACCAATTCGATCTAGCTAGCAAGCACTACTAGTTGGTGTTAGTGGTATGTAGTTTTACACGTTCGTGCCTGCTTTCTTGACCGCCAATTATGATATCAAGCAGACCACATGCATTGTGATCTGAATAATTTTAGTTTCCAAAGGAAACGGTGGCGTTAAAATTCCACCCCCTCGAACTGTGTAAATTTAAAATTTGATTATAATATCATAACTTCAAAGCCTTTTTGGGAGGGAGTATCTAGTAAGAAAGTTAGTGACAGTATCAAATTACAAGATAGATGAAATGAAAGGATACAGACAAAAAAACAGATTATGTGTTTATGTAAGCTATGACAGTGTATACAGTGTAAAGAATCGTGACTGAGTTCACCGAAAAAATCGTCACACATAGTTATTGAAAAAAACACGGTCATATTACTAATTAAAACAGCTTACTTCATAAATCTGAGTGTAAATTTGTTTAGGATCATTAACACGCATGCCGTTCACATAAATCACTTGAAATGCAGGTATCTGACATCCTAAAGTTTTATCAGCAACCAGTTTATGCATTGTAGATAATACAGCTTGAACTGAAGCGGTTTTCCCAGTACCCGGAATACCAGATATATACATACAGCTAGAATAAAGGTATACAGTAAAATCAAATATCAATTAACTGGTTGACACTGTTAAGAAAGAAATTACAACCTTCTTTGTAAGTGGGTACAGAATGAAATTGTGATACTGATCGTATTCGGTGCAACAACCAAATACAAATTGCAAACACTGACTCTATTGGTGTTTTCACAGTGTACATCAACAAACTGATACGTATCCTTTGGTGAAGTAAGTGCCAGAATCGTGTGGCGATACAGCTACTCTTTATCTACCCCTATGCGTCGGTGGCACAGCGGTTAGGATGCTCGCCGACCATGCACATGGTCCGGGGTTCGATCCCCGACCGACCAGGCACACCTTTACCTCGCTAAGCCAGTAACAGAACTGGTAAAGAGGGAAGGTTGGGCATGAGGCTAGCAATCCCATTCTGTAAAAATAAAAGCACTGCTACAGACACTTCAAGCGTCTAGCTTGAAGCCCTATGTTCCACTGGGAACGTGAAGGAATAAAAAAAAATGGTCAATTCGAACTAAGTACCAGATGAGTGGTCTGTAAATCCACACATGCATATTTTCTTTTCAGTGTGCATGCTGCATGATATGATGATTATCACGGAATGTAATGAAAACTTGACATACTGAATTACGTTTGACATAATAATAAAAACATTATGCAGCAAGCCCCCATAAACGACTTCGTACGGTCGAGGGTGGGTAGTAGACCATGGTCTCCCATCTGAAACGCTGTTATGCGTTCATAACCTCTGCTAGGTAAGTTCTATCCACTGCCTTCACATGGCGGAGATATTCCTCACAAAAGTGAAAGGGCGTCCGCGAGGGTCCATGTGCTTAAAACCGCACTAGTAGACATGCTGGTCTACCTAGGGGAGCTGAAAACCCATGATTCCAAATCTACAGAATCCGAAAAGACCGAATGGCATGAAAACTTGTTCTGGTCACCGACAATCACCCGGAATGTAGCTCCTGATGAGGCTGCACTGCCTTGTCGATCAGACTTTAAGTGAAAGGATGGGATGGGTGGGGGGCTGGCCCCTTTAGACAACTACTTACTTCAGTCTGAGCAGCATCCCAGCCCTCACACAGACTATGAAATTTCATGTGGTGCATCTCTTGGTGCCCATAATAATATCAATAATAATAATATGCGACAAAGAATATTCCACGTACCCACCAGAATTTAGAGACAATTTATTAGATACAAATGTGTATATACTTTCAAATTCTTGCTCACGACCAGGTAACCATCCATATTCTGAATTGTTAGAACTGTAAAACACAAAAAGATGATTTAAAAAACCTTTAGCGAAATTTTACATACAAAATATGCTCTGATAGGCTAAATCTTTTATACTAAGCACAACTTTCACAGGATCTAACTCATTCCGTAAATTATATATCTTAAAAAGGAAGACAAACTGAACAACTGTGAAGGCTCAACATAAATGCTAACTACACACACATCTTAGCAGCACAAAAATGCATCATTTCACGTCATCGCGCATTTACATGTGAACAGATATGCAATGCTACTCTACAACGAACGAACTTGACTCTTAAAGAAAAAAGGAAAATAATTTAAACTTAAACTAGTGGGTAGTGGCGTGTTTAGAATTTCTGACTGACATGGAGATGTGGCTCATCAGCTTAAGCACTCAGTTTCGAATGATCCAGCACGAGTTCGAATCCCACTCCACCTACTGCAACTCTTACACGACAATAGATGTGGCTCTTAGCCAGGTACAAGCACAGAAATCCTTTTCGGTTAATTGAGGCTAAAAAACACCATGCTTACAATGTTATCCAATAGTGCCACACACAGCATGCATTGTTAAAAGGACATTTTAATATGAGTTAAAATGAGAGACAGTCAATTCATTGATTGCATCAAATAATAACAAGCCAAACTCAACATTAAGCTTAAACTCACGCGAAATTGAGAAAAGTACTACCCCGAGGCATCTGACTGAGAGTACGCTTCCGAGGACCTGTCTGTAATAAATAATATAGTAAGAGACGACTGGTATCACACACTGACAAATATTAGGTTAAAGGCATTTAAGTTTAAAGATAAATCTCACTTAATATACGTCGGTTGAACGATTGAACAGCGCCACACTCTATACATGTATGTCTTATATACTATACTATTACACTATATTATTATTAAACCTTTGCTTTCCAAATGCAAGAAAGGAATCCAGAGGCACATATCTATGACACTCTCTCTTCTATGCTGTCACTCTCAACCGACTCTATCACTGCTTACAAGCTTACATTCCCTCCAATCATCATCTTCACCATGTCACTGTCAGATGCCCAACTCGTAGCTTAAAATTCAGGTCCCACTTTAGGGTCTAGCGTGAAATGAAAAACAACAGGGGCGTTTAGGATATGATAAATCACAAAGAGTGAATGCATCTGAGCCAACCATTGAGAACGATTTTGAGCCATATCGCCAATTGTCTCCAGCCTTCATCGGTTTTGACTGCCCCGAGGGCCCCAACCAAACAGCAGTCTACAAATCCCTACGTGCCTGGTTTAAACTAACTATTATGGATCCCATTGACTGATGAAGCCATGTCTTGGTTTGACCACCACAAGCTCTTTTCTAACTTGATCCCATGCCATCTAACATTGCCAGTAGAGGAAGGCATTAGTTAGGCATGCGTAATACATGTCTTGACCCTCTTAATTGATGTAACTTCACAACCTCGTCGGTCGATTTCTCCTCCTAACACTCGACGCCTAACCTCAATATTACGCGATCAAGATTATTCTCAATTTTTCAAATATAGTTTTATAACTCAATGCACTTTAATTTACTTGGTTACTAACTAACGATAACGTTTGAACTCTGTTCTCAACCTACATTGCAGATATATATAAAACTCTTAAATAACTGCACAGCTTTGAAGTTATGAAAAGAAATCTCTTTTCTGACTCATGTGTCATTTTTTAATAACATGAAAAATAGAAATTTTGACTTAGGTCTTAAACCAAAAGTAGTGCATCAGTGGTTCAGTATTTGAATATCCACCGGGGTTCGGTCCCCAGTAGACACACACTTCATAACCTCTCTTGGCTGACAGTACGCCCGGCAAAGAGGGCAGTATGTGCGTGAGGCTAGCAACCTCACCTCGTAAAAAGAAAATAAACACCCCCTGTTGCCGAAATTTCAAAGCTCATGTGCTTAAAGCCCTATGTCCCACCGGAAATGCAAAGGAATACTACAATAAACCTAAAGTAGAGGAAGTCCAAATAAGAAAAACACTTACAGATATGCTCCTTGTATCATTCGTAGCAGGGGTTTTCAATGAAGACTTTGTCGATCGATTTCTAATTCGAAACCTTTGTCTATCATAAACATCAGAGGAATCGGATGAATCCGATTCTGTGCAGCTTAATTCGCTCAATGAACTGGAAGTTTCATTAGATGAATCGTCGCTGTCACTTGAACTAAAATAGGGACAGAGAGAGAGAGAGAGTAAGACGAAAAGAAAGTCATTTGTAAGAATATATGAGCAACATACCAACCATACGTACACATTCATCCACAAAACAGTTCACGAAAAATGTGTATGAAAATCAATAGCATTAATGTAATCTACTCACAGAGTAAAATTATTATGACTATTATTATTACAACCGTTTAGCTATGCTTAAAATTTGTAAATCGATTAATCTACAGTTAAATCATAGTAATGTAATTTACTGACACATTTGTTTTATCTAAGATTGTAGATTGCCTGCACAAAGGCAATGCTCAATAGGTGAAAATGGCCAAGTATTTGAGGTCTCTTACTTTCTACTGGGAATACACAAAGCCAAAAAATGGTACAAAGTATACTGCTGTGCAACAGGTTGGAATCTCAACACACCATATTTTAGATAAAGCAATAAGAAGAAGACGTAATTTGTCTGAATCGTGTAATGTATTTGCGCATCACATTTCGAACAATCTGATCCAGCACACACGGACTTGTCATAGGAATATATATGTATGAAATTAATAAAGAGGTAAGAGGTGAGAAAATAGATTTAGGTCAAGTTAAAAGGACATATTCAAGGTCAAAATAACAATGAAGACCACTAAAACCAAATAGCAGAGATAATAGTACATCTGCTATGGTATCAAAACAAAATTTACCAAGGAAGGTTTAATGTGATGACGAATTGTTTTTGAACGTATAACGGTAGTTTAAACTTTCTGATTGCCAACTAGGGCTTCCACAAACTTTAGGATACGCCCTAGATACGGTTTATGGATAGGTTTAAAAGATATGTTAAAGTCAGTTTTATATCCTGTCTCTATGATATGTTTCGCAATAGAAGAGCTAGGTCTCCTGTTCTCACCGTTAATAGGTTCTGAAGCCATTTAGGAATATGCTCTAAAGACAGCTCTTACTTGTAGAGATCGATGAGTCCTCCCTATGTATGTGTCTACACGTACATTCAAATTGGTAAATACAGTGGGATGTGACGTCATTTTGCGCATGTTCAAGGGGCTTAGATAGATATATTGGCTTTACATTCTCTATTACTATGATATTGGCTGCATAAAAAGTCTTTTTGACAACAGCGTTCAGTCTTTTTCTAGTTATCAGTTATCCAGTATTCGATCGTGGTTATATCTGACCAGAACATTATGGCGTCATAGGATGATGGATTATAAGACTTTAAAACCATACATTGGCAATGTTAATTCATTTATACTTATACTTATGCCACGACCAGTAAGAAAAAGAAAGCATATGAGACTTGCATACATCAGACTAAAATCCCAGTCAGTGTAGCCAATAATCATAACTTATCATTGAGTTCAGCTGCCCTCCTCTCTACTTACTGTTGTTTGCAACTTTTTCACCTTTAGCAAGTGTTGAAGATACTGTACAATTAAAGAGTAGTTAGCAGAGATATGAATTGTACCACCCAGTTGTCTTAATCAATGCTATTTTTAGCTATACTCCTCTGATTAGCCCTCACTTTTTAATGCCACAATCTTCCTACTGAATGCTGACCAACAACTGTTTCAGACTTTTCACAGACTTTTCTGAAATAACTACAGCCACCTATGCACCAATGCAGATAAACAGTGAAAATAGATAAATAAAGTGGACTTTTGCCATCTCAAGTAGCGATTCGGGTAGCTGTTTTCTCTTACTCTGGGGCGCTTCATCAACACGTACCCACCGGGATTCAAACCCAGGACCTCCTAGTTACAAGGTGAGCTCGTACACCACTCAGCTACTGGGAACCAAAGCGAGTGTCGGAGGTGGAGGACTGCAGAGAACAGGACAAAGTGGACACGTGCTGCTGAAGCCCCATGTTCCACTGAGAACCCAAAGAAATAATAAAAACAACGATAACAGTAATAATGATGATAACAATTATAAAGTGAAAGTTTTCTAAGCTATTACAGGGATATATGAATTCATGACGACTGTGCTTAGTCTATTAAGCGCTTCATTTTCAACAAATAATTAACGAGTTTGAAACTGGCGTCAGCTGAATAGATGTAAGTTATTGCTCAGTGTGCATGAACACCAGTGGCAATATGTGACATTTAGTAAAACACCAGAGAATAACGAATACTGCTGAGACACACTCATGTAATATTATTAGACCTCAGAAAGTTTAAACCAACTTTACTTTCTTTTGACATTGTTGAAGTATCTTCAAGGTTTTACAACATTGTATTTCATTGTTTGTTAACCCCCATTATAAGGCATTTCATATTGAAAATCTGGGCTATTGGAATTTATAAACTCTTGCGTATATATTTCCCTGAGAAAAAAACTAGATGTTTAGTGATTCATGAACCTTATTCAACAGCTGTACGACAACGCAACATGTCAAGTGATCCACAACGGAAAACTCAGTGAGGCGTTTGGAGTAAACACAGGGGTCAGACAAGGGTGCTTATTATCACCAATGATATTCCTAATTGTGGTGGACTGGATTATGCGTCAGACAGTGGGAAACGAGAAGACAGGGATATCCTGGACCGACGTGAAGAACCTAGAAGACCTGGATTTCGCGGATGATTTATGTTTGATGTCACACAAAATCGAAGACTTACAAGCGAAAACCGACAAACTAGTCGAAGAAGCAGCAAAGACGGGACTCCAGGTGAACATAGACAAGACGGAGGTTATGAAAATAACCAACCAGCGACAACAACAGCAGAAACATCCAGCGCCAATCACCATCAACGGGAGGGATTTGAAAGAGGTCACTTCATTCACTTATCTACGGAGCATTGTCTCAACTACAGGAGGAACGGACGAGGATGTCAATTTGAGAATCGGGAAGGCAGGCGAGAAACACATTCATCAACCTGAAACCAATCTCGAAATCTTCGTCATTCAGCATCAACAACAAAATTCGGATTTTCAATACAAACGTCAAGTCAGTTTTGCTATACGGATCAGAATATTGGCGGGTCACAGAGAATATTTCCAACAGCCTGTTGCAGACCTTTATCAACAACTGTCTTCGTTCTATAGTCAAGATCAGATGACCGGAAAGAATCACCAACAAGAAACTATGGGAACAAACAAAACAAGAACCAATCGCTCAACAAATATGCAGGAGAAAGTGGAGATGGATTGGACACTCGCTGAGGAGGCCGCTGGGTGACATCGCGCGTCAGGCCCTCGAGTGGAACCCGAAGGGGAAGCGGCAAGTGGGACGTCCAAGGGTGACATGGAAGAGATCGTGTGAAGAGGATTTGAAACATGCAGGTGAAAAGTACAGCAGAAGACAGGAACAAGTGGAGACGTGCAGTTGAAGCCCTATGTTCTACTAGGAACCCAAGGGAACAATAATAAAAATAATAACTAGTGATTCAAATGAATAGCTTTCAGTCGGATGACACATTTAAAATGTGATCAGCAACTTTCATTATCCTACTATTTCAACACACTTCTCGTTTCACACTACTGAGTACAAGACGATATAAGTTTTCTTCAACTATCAATAATTTAGGGAAATAGCATAAAATGTACTGAAATAAAAAATTTGCTACTTCTGTAGTCAATCACTTGAGGTATAAAGAGTTAGCCGTACATTCAAAGAAAACCATAAATACTCTCCATGTAATGGAAATCAAAAGCACGCATTGATTTTATTCATCAACTGAAAGTTCTATCGAGAATCTCGTATTCTTAAAATGCTTAATCACTATTACTAAAGTGCTGGTATGAAAAGTAAGTACAAGTAAACGGCAAAACAATAGAACTGACATAAAAGAAATTACAATAGCTGTTTTGTTGGCAATTTAATCGTTGGGTTTTCCTAATATGGGTTGTTTTCCGACGATAAAAAAGTGGTAATCATCGTCGGCATTCAACACATGTCCAGGTAGTGAAGACGGAAGAAAAATGAAATTCGATTGTCAAAAAATAAAGAAGTAGCTGAGACTGTAACGTCAATTTCGAAATGTTTTAGAATTTACATGAAGATTTCGATTACACTATTGAAGACATAATTTTACAAACTGCATACAAGCGCATGATGACAGTAGTTATCACCAGTAGTTTCAATATCATAAGTAAGGAAATGAAACTGACGAGTCATTACTATATATATATATATATATATATATATATAAAGCAGTATTGATAACACCTGTTACCTGTACTAACCAGCATCACTAAAAGTAAGCAACACTTTGAAATTGCAAAACTTTCTTTGGGATAACTTACCAATGAGAATTGCTCAGGATGACTTTTTTTCCTACAAAAGATGCAATATTGAAAATAAGAAATCAGTGAACATTACATTTATTACAAAAACAATAAAAAGAACAGAAGGCAGATTATGTATGTATGCACTAGCGTTTATAAAAAGCCAACGCACTCAAATAAAAATATTTAGACTTTAATTCATCTCATCTGTTACCTGTAAAGTTAGGTTTAGTTAAGTGTATCACAAACTGAGCAATAACTTTAAGTAGTTAGTACATCAGGAAACCTAAATGATGATGAAATGAAACATAGAAGTGTTGGCGCTAAACAACTTTATCCACATAAAATTCACTAAGAAGATCACAAAGGCTCACAAGAAAAGGAAAAATAATAGTAGTGGAATTATTAACGACAATATAAATACGAAAAGAGTTTTGAGGCATCTGCATACAGTCTTACCATATAACGAAGGGGGACATCTGAAACCCTATGTAGGATTTTTAACAGAGGAATAAGGGTAGTATTTAAACGAACCAACTGACTCAGGGACAAGTTCTGTAGGCTTAAGGGCCCTACTGACCCCCCAATTAGACAAAATAGTGTAATTATGCAAACAAAATCGTAAGGCTATGTGAATGCCTTGATATGATTATGAACAACAAATTATGATTGGAACGTCATTAGTAAATAATACTGTATAACATTGTATGACTTTATCAAGTGAATTTAGTCTGTGATAGAATTCTACTCTATCATAGTGCCGAAGTTTTATCCTTTTATCAGTGAAAAATTAGCGTAGAACAAAAAACTACAGATTTGTATCCTTTTAAGTTACCCCACACATCGAGGAAGCACTGATCAAAGAAAACAAAAGTATAAATATGTAGTAATACGTAAAAGCGTGTGGAGCGAAGAACATTTTTGTGCAGAATAATGAAGCCATTAAGAAACCAGATGATTCAGATTAAATGTACTTGCTCTGATATAAACGATTTTGGGCCGATTCAATAAGTCTCAAAACATTATTTCCTATAATCATGGGGACTAAAGCCAAACAATGCATAGGCTCTTTTAATCTGCCTCAGAGTATCAATCAGTGACTCCGTGTATTGGTATTATGTTTCGGTCTGGCTACCTCTAACTCTTCTCCAATCTAATCCTCATTTATTTAACTTGCTAACCTGGTACAGTATCAGCATAGAGTAATACAATAATATAAAAAGTGGAAATAAAACAGATGAGAGACAACAGAATAAAAACCGGTGAGCCCAAATATTGAGTGTATCAAGTAGAGTGTCCGTTTTTTTTATTCCTTCACGTTCCCAGTGGAACATAGGGCTTCAAGCTAGTGGCTTGAAGTTTCTGTAGCAGTCTTTATTTTTCACAGGATGGGTTTGCTAGCCTCATGCCCAACCTTTCCTCTTCACCAGCTTTTATTTCTGGCTTAGTGAGGTAAGGGAGTGCGTCGACGGGGATCGAACCCCGGACCATGTGCATGGTCGGCGAGCGTCCTAACCGCTATGCCACCGACGCACTAGAGTGTCCGTTACTTTACATTAATTCTGGAAAAGGTTGAAAGGAACTACAGCATGTTCATTACTTATTTTGGTCCTGAGTTGTCCGATAACAACTAGAACTATTAAGTCACATGATTTGTTCGGCCCCATCCACGGTAGCATGATGCATCAACAGATGTTAACAGCTGATGTTAGATGGTTGGAAGCAATCGGCAGGAAGCCTTGGACCTAGGTTTCATGCTAGTTGGCACTCACCAGTCAGCAAGGCGTATCTGTAACCTTGAAGGAACTCACTCCCCTTCTGAGCACCATGATGGCGACCTACCTAGAATGGTGGCCACATTGCAAACCTGACTGATAGAATTCAGTCTGCACCAAAGAAAGGACTAGGCACATCACAATAGTTACTAGTGTCCAATCAAAGATGTTAACCGCATAGAACTACTCCACATACCATGGTAGGGCAAAACGGACTGATCAACTTTCTACACTATCTATGTAGTACGAGGGCTAACGAACAGTGGACGATATGGGAACTGGTGGGACAATGTTTGTAGCACGTCCCCGAGCTACTACAGACAACACTGCAAATTTGGGTCTGGGCAAATATATGACATCGGAAGCCGAGATTATTTACATGATGATGCAGACCAGAGGCAGAGACAACTAAACACGTAAAGCCGCAACCCACCAGCAATTCTGAGCCCGGGTTTCACAGACGTAAAACAAAACTGTAAGCAATAAAGCACTGTAAATCCAACCACTGACCACTTATGGCAACGAATTACGACTTCGTAGACCAGTGCTCTCTCGGTCATAATTCTTTTTCATCCTAATCTTGGTTCGACTAAAATTAATCATCAATACGACCAGTGGTTGAGCATGCGTAGCATATGTCCAAGAAATCTCAGTGTCGATGAAGAGATACACCACTACCCACTTATCACCATTTTTAATTTAATACTTTATGGCTACCCTCAACATTTCTTACTTTCTGATTCCATCCCTGGTGAACAATGAAAGCATAAGAAGCTGATGATCTTTCTATATTTCCCTCTTTTATTGGTCATGTCCCATATGCACACAGTAAGTCAAAATGAGCTGCTGCTCAATGCACTAATCCTTCTACGGACAGCATAACGTTACGCTGACAACAAAAGCGGTACAAGTAAGTTTTTTTACTTTACTTCGGCTATCTCCTACGGGAGGATGAGCCAGCTTCATGAACATCTCGAATCATCGCTGCCCAGGCGCGGCGATCTGATGCAAGGTTTTGCGACAGGGTTATCCAATTCTTGTTCCACAGACGGAGTCCGTAGACGGTTTGTAGCCCCAGGCACTCCATATCAGCCTTGACTGTACCAAGCCATATTTTCAGCTGTCCACCCCTGCGACATCGCCAAGATGGTAATGGCGAGGGATTTAGAACTGATTTCACCAGATCGTTATCTGGTCGGCGCAGAACATGGCCAAACCACCGAAGGCGACGTTGTTGGACCAGTACTGGAATTTGGTTGATGTTGTCGCAACGACGAAGAATTCATGAAGTTTCATGGGAATTTGGTACGAGTGATGTCCCCAGAATCGCTCGGCCTTTTGTTTGAGAGTGCAGCTCTAGCCTTTACACAACCAAGTGTAACCTACAAGGCAGTAGGAGTAGAGTAGGGAGTCCACTATCCATTGGCAGCCGGTGACCGGAGTTCGGTTCATACGCCTTTTTGAATGGGGCCAGACATCCAACAAGCCCTTTGTCCATACGTCTGCCGGTGAGCTCTAGTGAGCTTCATACGCCAGTCGTTGGAGGTTTGGAATCAGGGTTTAGCCATCTCCCCTAGACTGTCATCCAATGGACAGTCGGGTTGACCCGGTGAAGAGCGCCGGGCATCCGCTTTCGCCGTCTCACTTTGGTGAAAAACACCTCCGCCACGTGAAGGCAGTGAGTAGGACTTCCTCAGGAGAGGCTATGTAAGACGCCCGGTCATATTGGAGCATTTCAAGAGGTGTGCGGAGAGGTGGCCAACCCGCAGCGCAAGGCACCCACCCCCGACCATCCTGAGGCTTTGGAGAACAAATAAGCTATATGTTTCCTTACTGAAACTTTGTCGGTGACCAAACCATTAAAGATGATGCATCTCTCCAGATAACTGAAGTCTCCTCCAACACAGTCAACCATTTCACTTCCTATCCCGTGAACAAAGATTTGGTACAGTCCCCACTAACAGAGTCATCTTCAGTTTAACAGGGATGGACCAAATACCACACTTAAATTCTTGCTTGTCTCTAGATTTTGCGTCTTTTCAGAGTACTCCCCCAAAACAATATCGTCTGTATTTTCACTTGTCCATTTCAATTCGCAAGATGCCGAAGTCAAATTGACTCACCTCCACTAATACATGCAGAATAAAACTAGATAAGAACGATGAATCCGAGTATCTGATGAACACCACGTCATGTTATAACTACGTTTTGTAGCACCATACATTAACTAGCAACCTAACGAATCGGATGCTTACAACTATTCGCGAACACCTTTGTAATCAAGCAACCAGGTCTTGTTTATTTAAAATTCAATATTTATGTGCAAAGCTATAATAAGTCACAGTAATCATGTGAGGGCTAACTATGCTACTCAGTTGCATAGGTTTAGCAGGTTGCGGGCCCAAAATTAAGTGCTAAAGCTGATGAGCTACATCTGCATATCAGGTCCAACTGCTTTTCTACTTTCTCAGGAAGCGACAGCTTTTGCAGCCGTGGTTAGAACTGAGGAACTGATGACTACCTTCAGGACTGAATAACTCAAAAGTTCACCAGCTACATTAAAGTGTACTCGGGAATTAGTATGATACTCCAAATTCATGATATTTTATAGGACTGATAAATGAATTTAAACAAGTGCACACTCATTACATAATAATAAGGCAACGAAAAATCAACACAAAGAACAAAATAAAAAGTATTTAAGTATTGGTTTTGTAGGGATTTTGTTTGATTGAATGGAGGATTTCATCATGAGCTGACATCAGTTATAGAACCACTGGAAAACCTGGGAGTACTGGACAGCTGTTTCGTCTCAGTTTGGGACTCTTCATCAGTACGCACCTATTTGGGTTCGAATCCAGGACCTTCTGGTTACAAGGCGAGCTAGCTCGTAGACCATTGAGCCACTGGGACCCGATCCAATGGCCAATGAATTCTAACTTCTGCCAATTCACAACATAGCGCGACCATTTCGCAATGCCTTCTTCGATGAGTTACTGCCTTATCTTCAACCTGCTGTACCCTACTGGCCACGGCTTCCCATTAGAACCCCAGGTCACTGCCTGAATAGGGCCAGTCACTAGTGAGCATCAGATTAATTTTCAAGTATTTGTAACCAGAAGGTCCTGGGTTCGAACCCCAATGGGTGCGTACTGTTGAAGAGTACCAAACTAGGACGAAAAGCTGTCCAGTACTCCCAGGTTTTCTGGTGGTTCTCTAACTGATGTCAGCTCATGATGAAATCCTCCATCCAATCAAAAAGTATTTAGTAAGTTTGAACTCCCTACACTAAAATTATGGTTGGGGTATTGGATAATTCAGACGGAAATCAAGAATGATTTTTATGTGTTTTTTGGTTTCTGAAACGAGACGATCTTCACATGAGCTATATGGTACTTCAACCCTTGGGTGAGAAGCTGAAAATGGAAATCACAGAAAAGATGGAGACATATCTGAACCCAACGAATACAAAAACGATTAGTGTGGAACGTCAAATACCTTTCTATAGTTAGAACTTTGTCTATTACATAATGAGTTGGGAATAAATCTAAGATACAAAATGATAAATGAATAAAAAACAGGATTTCATCAGCCAATAATATGCGCAATCATTATGGAAAATAACAGCTAAAAATAACAAAGTAATTTACCTTTTTTGGCGCTAAGTGCCTGTGAAAATGATCTAGGGTTTTTTACAGGCGATGCTAAATGAAGTTCAGATAGTTTCTTGACTAAAAACAAATGAGTTTGAAGGAAAGAGCATTACCAGGAGAATTCAAGCAAGCATGACTAGTTGCGCGACGAGGTCGTAATCGACCATCCAGCTTTGGACATACAATATTGTTAGGATTTAGACTAAACTCAAGGCCTCCAGGTGTATCCAAACAAGCTATGATACGAGCCATAGTTAATTCTCTGCAAGCACGCCGTGGTGTTCTCGGTGCAGACGACATTATAAAATCTATAATCATAGGAGGAAATGTAAATCAAATTCCAAAACAACAACTAGCTAAATAGAACTACCAAAATGCAATCCTTCGGTTACTCAGAAGAAATGTGCTAAATCACATTTTCTCCATAAGGACCCAGGCCTACTGCACTGCACAAAGACTAAGAGAATTTGGGCAAAATTATCCACAGAGAGTGCCTCAGATCCATGTGACTTCAACGATTGCTTATTAATGTAACAAAGAACAATGACATTACCATGAATCGACAAGTAAACCACCTTATTCAATAATAAATATCTTGTTGAGATCGACACGATTCGGAGAAATACAAAAGCCAATGAAATTATCAAAAAAGTGTGCGTTGCATAAAAGGACAAGACACACATTATTTACCAAGTCAACTGTATAAATTATTTCAACTCTACTCTGGTCATTTCAAAGAATACGCGAAAAATTCCCTACAGAACAGTTTTGAGGTAATTTGATACAATGAATACATTTAAGGAAATTAGGGATTTTTGGAAATGTCTACATGTGAATACATTTCCACAAAAATCTTTAGGGTGTTCAGGTATAGCAACCCAATTGAACGACTATCAAAATGACTTTGAACAACCAAACAGATGAGCCCATACTGAAAACGTGTAGATCTCACACACTCATGTTGCAAGATCAACGTAGCGACATGAGCTAATATGAATTAGAGGAAATAACACTCCCATCAGTTCATATACATATAGATCTAGGTGTCACTATAAACTGCGACTTCAAAACTTAAGCACACTATCTGACGGTGGCGACTTGAAGTTTCAGATCCTTATGGGCATACGCAGAGCGTTTACTAGGATCACCAAAGACATGTCCACTTCTTTACATACATCTCTGGTGAGGTCAAGACTGAAAAACCTTATCCAGGCAGTCATTCATTGCCTTAAAGGGAGGTGGCCTTCTAGAAAAAGTCTAGAGGAAGGCGATACGTATGATCCTTGGCATGACCAAGTTGGCATAAATGGCAAAGTTACACTAACAGCCAAAACCACAGTAACCTAGGTTCAAGCTTGAACAACCAATCAGATTTCGGACGCGAAAAAGTCGTATAATCGTCGAAAAACAAACTAAAAGGCATTGCAAACATGATATTATTTTTTGTAAGAATGTTTTTCAGTCACTAAACAGGTGATGTATAGAGAAATCGTACCATACACGATAGGTGCATTCATGCAGGTGACTGTAGTTCATGGCACTTTGAGATCCACTGATATTTCTAACACTATTCTTCAAGCTATTCCTAACTCTAACTACAATCCTAACTTTAACCCCAAACCTAACCTTACCCAGCTAGCATTTTCTTCGGGCGCATTGCAAAAGGTGGGACAATGATCTGCAGTCTGCCTCAAAGATTCTGCGGTGCGCCCGAAGTCAGCGCTAGCTAGGTAACCCTAGATTTCAACCCTAAAAGTCATAGCAGTATAGATTTACAGAAGAGGTACCTAATAAACAAGTAGAATACTTTATGCACGCTCTTCAATCCAAAAGGTTAGCATGACTTGATTTGGAATGATATTTCATAGCATTTCCTGTCTGAACTGTTCTTGAAGGTCAACTTCTGAAAGACCTTGACTTTGTCTATGATCCTTCAACCTTGCCCACTTAAGAGATTATTGTCTTGCAAGACAATTTCTCACCACTTACTGTGTATGAAAAGAATTCACGCTGGGCGCCTCTAGAACGAGCTAACCTGTTTGGACGCTCAAGGTCATTTGGGTGGTCATTTGGGTGGTCATTTGAGCTCCTACACTTTCTCTGATAAATGATGCAATGATTTCTCTAAAACGCCGAAGTTAACCTAAAATGCTCTAGTAATATAAAGCTAGACCTAAGCTGCTTTATTTTTGGTTTGACAAAATGAAATGGTATTTATGATATTGACCAGGACTATTTATAAAATTTAAAATTTGATTATCAGATGCAGATTTAATCACCCAACCCAATGTCTGCGTATGTAAAGTATGCCAGAATGAAAATGACGACAGTGTTTTCATTTGCTTTTGGACAGGTCGAATTCTAATAGCCTGAAAATTGATGTGCCAATATTGTTGCTGACCATTGCGGTCGTATCATGACCAAAATCGCGGTGATCTTAAACAATTAATGAGAATTCAGGTGCAAACCGAGCAGAATAGTCATTTTTGAAGTGTAATGCAGAAGATTTGTCACTAAGTTGGATGACACTGAATTAGTTGCGATCTCTGAGCCGCTGGTTGATTTAATTGTGAAGCTTTTGTCGTCCTCCTAGACAATATCCCCCTTCGTCGCGGATGTTAGTATAAAATGGATTTATTTAAATCCTCGATGAATGATGTAATTGTCTCTTCTGCCAACCACTATCATGACTGTCTGTTGTTAATTTACGTTTCTATTGATCATTATTTTTATTGACTTGGAATCCGAAAGTTGATGCCATGTGTTTCACCTTTTATTAGCTCATAAATTTGGTCTATAATAATGTGTTTGCTAATTGCTGGCTGATTCACTTGAGTACCAGACTTCTAGGAATTCCCAGACTGCAGTTTTGGAGTTTCTTCTATTCAAAATTTCTACATTATCCCAGTCAAATTGGTGTCTATAATTAACTACATGCATTGATATTTTGGAGGCTGACGGTATTGGCGTTCACGGACAGTAAGGAGTATACTAACGCAAGATATAACACCCACAACTTCTATAGTATTCGTTCCGCGTAGACCAAAGGCAAAGCAAAACACAAGGGTTGATTGTCCAAATTACAAGATATATTTCGGGACCGAATCGGAGTGCTAGGGATCGTGCAAGAACGAACGAACGTGATACGACGGAGTACCAAATGGCGTGGATGTTTGACTGGAAGCCTTCAGCTACACAAGTTGACTTAAAAAGTGAGGGTCAGCATCCAATCTTCAGTGATGAATGCTGTGGCCAATGTCTTCATGCAGCCGATTTGGGGTCCTTGGATTCACATTCGAATGGGACGCCCACTTTGATCGGTGTAATGTTTATTGCAGCGCATGCATGCCATTTATTTTGTAAATGGTATTAATTTTTTTGGTTGGATCTCTTGGTTCTCACAATGGCGAATGAAGTGATTGTGCTAGCTGGCTGACTTGTGTGCTATATCTATTTCAAGTGGTCTCAATATTCTAGCTGTTATTCCAGAGATATTTTTTATATACGGTGGAATGAATTTTCTCGTGGTCTTGTTAGTGTTATGGATCAAGTTTCAACACTTTTTGTCAAAATATTGAGGATATCCATTCTTTTTGAAGACGGTTAGTAGGTATTTTTCCTCCATTCTCCTCAACAGTGGAGAGCTACAGTGTCTTTGTACTCTTTTAAATGACGCCTACACATAGTTTTGTGGATAATTAGGTTATCGCTACTATAGTTGAGTATTTGGTCCGCATGCTTGTGTTTCTTAGCTTCCTGTGTTAGTTCTCTTGAGTAAGACATCTAGAAATGGAATTTTGTTGTCTAATTCTTTTTCTCTTGTGGATTTGATGTCTTCAAATATGTTATTTATTAATTTGTGGGTGTGTTCCAAATCATTTCTTTTAGTTACTACAAATGGACCATCAACAAAACGTACCCAGATTTTTGGTTTAATTATGGGTAGGGCTATTAATTCCAGTCTTTGCATAGTTACTTCAGCCACTAATCTTGATATAGGAAATCCTATTAGTGTTCATTTTATACTAAACCCTGAGCTGAAGATGTTGTCTTGAAGGACGGCAAAAGCTTCGCAATTCAATCAACCAACTCAGAGAACACAGCTGATTCAATTCAAGGTGTGTACTGAAATCCTTGCAAACATGATATTACACTAGATAACTTTCGCCTGTATGTTGTCAGAATGTCTCCCAGTAATCCATACTTGGCCCGTGTTCTAAGCGACAGAGACAATGTTAAGCGTGAAACCTATGAATTGCTTTGTTATTAACAACATAATTTTAGGCTCTTTTATTTCTCTCTTATTTTGTATTCTTTAGAGAACTCCTTCTTCAAACATGCTTAGCTACCTAAAATATTAACATTGGCTTCCTTTATGTACTTTACTATATTCCTTCTATTGTGTATCCACTGGTTCCGACTCTATTAGCACTATGAGTATTACAAAATTGTCCTATCATTTACCATCATGTAATTATTAGTTTTGTGGTTGTTTTTTCTTACTTTCTATACTTTTCGGCAATATTAAACTGACAATCATTGGTTGTGAACGCCATAGTCACCACCTTAAAAATTTTCGTATTATTCAGCATTACTCACACTACCACCACAAACACTGCATTAAACCTTGGTAGACTTTGGTTCCTTTTCGCATTCATAATTATTTTGTGTTTATCTTGTTTTTTTTGCTGTTGGTGTCTTCAGATTTATTTTTTTGTTTGTTTAATACTTATTTTAAATGTCGGTAAAATTAGATGCAAATATTGTGGATATGTGCTGAAAGTTCCACACTGTACCACTAATACTGTTTCTGGAATAAAGCAAATTATTATTATTATATAGAACTCACGCCATAGGTTGAAGTTATACTCATCCAGGTTTTTGTACGTCTTTGCACTGTGGGATCCATTGATACTCTTGGATTTGTTTTTTAACCCAACCTTAAGCCTAACACTAACCTTAACCTTGATCTTAGCCGCTACCCTGGTCCTACCTAACAGTACAGATTTACTCGGTCTTCGCTGATTTTATCCAGCTAGTTAACAAGCGCTGGTATTAATTGATATGAATATACGTCTTGTAGCATTCCATGAATCTAATTGGTCCTTGCAGGCCAACTTTTATCAGACATAGGCTTTGGCTATGATACTTTAACTTCATATTGGATGGCTAGATGCAAATTTGTGAAATTTGTGCTGCACTAGATGAGAAAGTTGTAGTTACTATGACAGTTACATAGCAGTGTGAAATAACGGCAAGTCCTCCCGACACAAGCCTGGAATATACTTCTGCATGACGATTGTATGTGAAACTTTCTGACAGCGTGAAAATGGATGTGCGGATTTCGCACTACTATCGATATTGTATGAAAAGATGTGACTCAACTATGACCAAACCATGTTATCATACAAAATTATTGGGTTTTCAAGATCACTGTCTGCATCAAGAAAGGATATAAGGTGATTGACATGTCGCCAGGTTGTCTATATACTTATGAAAAAAAGTGTCGAAATTCTAGTCCAGTCAAATTGTTATATCTCTTGAGTGAACCAGCAAAATTTCCAATACAGTGAGACCACTCAAGACAGGGTTGTGAGTAAAACAGAGTTTTTATACACTTATTTTAACGTTTGAACAGCCCACTAACGCCGTTCATCATGAGACCTCAGTAGTGCGTCGTTTAATTACAGTGGGTGGAAGGTAAAAAGCATTAGTTACGCCCCAGTGTCTTCTCGGTGGCTTGGTGTTACAAAGATCACTATGGTGTGCCCCTCTATTCATTCTAACCAAACGCTTCTTAAACTAATTAATGTGCCCACACTGTACTTTTACGGAAACTAATTTTACGTATAACCAACTGAACATTATTTTCGAATGTTTTGCATACACATAGTGTGGTCAAGCAGAGTTGATTTTTACTGGCGCACTCCGAAAGTTTGATTTCGCTAATAATTTACTTTCTCAAGTTTTCAATTACGCTTTTTAATAGGGCGCAGTGTAGAACATGAAGACATGGCTGATTAAAAGCGTAATGATGGGTGCCGGATACGGCACGCAACAAGTGGTAATAGGACCTTCGAAAATTCTCTTTTATGACTGTTTACATTCTAACAGTCACAGGCTTATATCCATTGTAATGGCAGAAGAACAGAGAATTCGACAGCAGAAATACTTATTGCAAAATTGGCAAGTACATGTGGGCAAAATATGTCTATCTTACATTAGAACCACAATTTCTACAAATCTTTGATATTGTGCTGCTTTTCCTACTGTTTTGTAGTCCCTAGATTTCCTTTCATATTGTTTTACAAGCGTTGTTCAGTAAGTCCACTTTTCCGCAGTCTGATTCTCTTGACGCTGATATGCATATTTATATCAGCATCTGTATGCTCCCCACGAATCCTGTCACTAGCATAGGCCACGATATAGCGCAGTATACACGTATTTTCAGTGTACCTTCCATACACGCAACTCAGTTTATGTGTTGAGCATTGAGATTAATATTTTTGCCTTCCGAGATTTTCATCTTCTGTAAGTTTCGCTGTTTCCTGAAACCATTTTTCCACGAACGCATTTATGTCTCGTGATAACCCGATAATGCCGACCTGGGATCCGTCATTTCTACCACTACCGACATATCTGTTTTTAAATCAAGATGTTCATAACCATAGTTTACTCGACTGGAGCACTACTTCACTGCTAATTAGCTCACTCTACGGAACGCTAAATTTGGTACTTTGAGTGCCGCCCTATCTGACGAAGTCGCGGAACACACACGGCAACATACCGTCCAGTCTAGCAGGGAATTCGCTTATGATAGATTAAAAGAAAGGGTTTTGTGATATACTGGACCACTCGTTACGTAACTTAGAAATGGGTGATAAAATGCTTTCTCAGCTAATAAAATAAATGCAAAGCCTCGTGGCAAGTTGTGGAGTTGAAAAACGACTCCTGTGTCAAACCTGGCTAGTACGACCACCCGGAGACGTTCAACAGGTTATCGCTTCAGGAGATGATGACATGAGTATCCATAAGCTCGTTGGAATAGTCGGCTGCATATGTT